CGAAAGAGGTCGCTGCCCTGCTAATTCATGCACTTCAGCCGCTGAGATAAATCATGTAACTTTGATGCTTGAACAAAAAGGTCGAAAAACAGCTCACTACCTCCTCTGACCTCGGATGGAGCTAACTCCAGATTTGTTTTCCATTCTGCTTATTCGTAAAAGTTACGCTACTTACACTTGCCATTTGCTGGATTATAAAGGCCGCATAAACCTACATCGTATAAGCATGGTTCACCGCTGACGAGATGACGAACAAGAAAAGCAAGCGCCATTTTTTATTCAAAGAAAAACTTTCAGAACTTCTTTCAAAGAATCGTTAAGCGATATGTAACGTCCATCTTAGGATTTTGAAGTGCCCCTAAGTAGGCCGGATTAAGAATACTTTTTGAAATACGAATTTCTAAATGCCTCAAACTCAACGATTTAGAAATTTATCACAACAACTTGCTTATTTCAGTCATGGAACCTACTCAGCTGATCACTAACCTTCTAAGTGTTGGCCTACCTGATAAAGGACTCACAAAAACGGTATCCGAAAGTGTTATAATGGAAACATTGAGTGAATTTTTGTCTGCTTATTAAGTAATCAGATTATAGTACATAGACTTTCTTGCTATTGTAGCAAAGGCCCGCGAACTTCTCCTCTCACAACCACCCATGGTGGAGCTTGACTCACCAGTTAAAATATGTGGAGATACACATGGACAGTACCCAGACCTATTACGAATATTCAACAAGGCGGGAAATGGAGCTTCAAAACCAAATGAAAGATACTAAAGTTTGATGAATTTAGGGTGGATTCCCTCCTCTATCAAATTATCTATTTTTGGGAGATTATGTGGATCGAGGCAAGCAAAATCTGGAAGTTATTCTATTGGTTCTTGCCTACAAGGTTTGCATCTGATATACTCATATATGTATTGAAGAGTTTGCTAAAGAAGGGCTTATTGCAGTTGCGATATCCAAAAAACTTTTTTATACTTCGCGGAAATCATGAATGCGCTAATGTAAATCGTACATATGGTTTTTATGATGAGTGCATGCGTCGGTATCAAAGTCAACGAATGTGGCAGTCATTCCAGGTGGAGCAGTGAGCAAGTGATGATGACAGCTTTCAAATAACAGGATATCTTCAGGACACATTTTGTGTACTACCTTTAACTGCACTTGTGGGCGATAAAATTCTTTGCATGCATGGTGGATTGTCTCCTCATCTGGAATCGCTTGATCAACTTAGAACTCTTCCAAGGTAGTCTATTTGAACCGTCTAATATTGTGCCGTAATCCCGTTGGTATATTGCCCCAACAACTTGTGATTATCTCGGAAAATTTTGTGAGATTACTGAGATGCTTAAGGCCAACAGATGCGACTGGGAATACATTAGAAATGGATCTTCTATGGGCTGATCCAGTTATCGGTCTTAGCGGATTTCAGGTAGGTAACACACGAGTTAAGGTACATCGTTTTT